GAATGGTAACTTTGGGATCATTTTATGGACCAATACCAAACGTATATTTTTATTGTATAATTGTGATATGATGGAAAGAAAAGTCCATTTTCGATTGAATTACTCATCATGAGTTATATTCAATATTACATCCGTTTTGATTTAGCGTGAGAATCATTCAGTGTAGTATTTGATTGTTTTCCCAGTATAATATTTTCTTCTGTATAATATACGACATTCTTGCATTCACTTGACATGAACTATGCTCAGTAAGTGATTTGTTATAACTGAGTATGTGATCTAATCCTAATTATTAATCAAAATGGGTGTACAATCAATATATAAACCAGTGCATTTTAGACTATATTCGATTCGTCGTCATAGTGTTTTGGGGCTAATAAATCTGCACTTATACCAGCTTTGTGTTCTTACTTTCGCATCGTGGGAATTGCCGAGGTCCCTCGTTCCGAGTATAAGTGATCAGCGTTTTTCCGGCACAACAATTGCGATGACCGATTATAACAGGGTACGATAGTCACGCGGACCCCAACCAAGTAGTCTGCATCTACCAACATGGCTCAGATTAGAAGTTAGTGACTTCAACGACTGACATCATGTTATGGTTTGGCCGCCCCATCACTAGTCAGTATTGCGCTTCATGGTAATCGGTGTTCAGGCATATGCAATATGTGACCCGACCATCTCAGTCGATGAAGATTCACAATCTTATCAACTGATTTACCATCATTCCCTAATACCTTGAGTCTAACCTCACTATTACTTACCCAGTAATCCCAGCAGATGCGAGCAATATTTCTAAGGCATCTGTGGTCAAATACTAGTAGCTTACGAGTATATTCTACTCTTAATAGCCACGCTTCGCAGTCGTAAATTAAAGCAGGACGAACTGACGCTCAGTATACTCGTCCCTTAATTGCCTTTTATGTATGGTAGGGTGATCCATTTGTTGATTTCTGTAATTGACTTTGTATCGGATGATGCATTCGGCTGGTATTTTTTGATGAAGTTGGTTGGGTATTTCTACTTATTTTTCCGCGCTGTGTTGCAGTGTATCCTCGCCCCCTTGAACAAAGTTTGTACGCAGTCGAGGTCTACAGGACAAGTTATGAGACATATGTGAAGAAATTTGAACAATTTACTTCTACCTGAAGTTTGTGCTGATGATGTCGTTCAGAAGAACAATGTAAGCTCCATGACCAAACCATCCAGTTGATGTTTAGTCATTTATTAATTTATTCACTATTTCTTACTAGAAATCACTTGAATTTGAAATATAAAATCAACATGATGAAAAATAATCTATTTGAAAATTTTGAACTATGAAACTTGAATTATCACACAAAAGTAGTTAAAATCTGTGTACCATTATCAGTTTAATCAACACTCCATTATAATCAAGTCATCATAACAGATATTACCACATTAAAGTGGATCAAAGTTCTCAGTATATTTTCAAAACTAAGCATATCTTTAAATCACCTATAAGCAATTAATTTACAGTTATTTCTCATTAAATTAATTCATAGAAACCTAGCATCATTTTTTTCCGTGAAAAATGTCGATTAGTCAAAAGTCTAAAAGTGGCGAGTGGCCTATAACTCAAGACGATAAGTGTCTGATAATGAGATCGTAATTCAGCATTCTTATTTTATCCGAGATGAGACTGTAATTGTATGATTATTATCTATAATATTCGTAACTAATTGATTATTAGAAGTGACTGATGTAGTGACACTGTAAGTTTTTGCGATTGATTTTTATGATCACATGTATTATGACTGCTTTGATTGATTGAGATCATGAACCGACGGATGTTAGACCACCATGGAAAACCTGGACAGCCGTTCCGCCCTACTGTGGGACTCCTGAGCAGTGCGCATCCACGACCCCTCTTAAGGGATTCGAACCCAAGGCCTTCAGTCTCGCGTGCGAACGCTTAACCTCTAGTGAAAAGCCATGACCAGTGGAGCTAATCCGTGTCGGGTAGAGATAGGTATCGCGCAATTTCGTATATTTTTATGTTCGATTCCACAATTATAGTTAATTAATGATGTTAAAATAAATCAGTCCCGTTATCGAAAGCGAAGAGAATGGATTATTTGTTTTCATAATTTATGATATTTAGCTTGCCTTACTGCGCCATTGTATGCTGCAGTTCCGACAGTAAACATTGGGAAAATTTCGTCATATTATGACCCACACTTATTGATACAGGATATAATCTCTATGCTGGTTTCATATTCGATAACAAATTGATTAAGCTTCTTTTGATGAAAGTGTGTAGGCGTTAGTTTTTCCAAAAAACAAACTTTAAGCTACTATTTCCCCATTTCTCTCTATGGTAGACATACTGACATTTCATTAATTTTATTGAGTGTGATTTATAAATGATCAAAATTTTGAGATTTATATTTTCTCCATTTCGCAATAGATTTAAACCTTCAAAAGTACCCGGAAGGTTAAATAGAGAGCGTCACCATAATGCCAGAGTAATTTACTTTAGAATACATCAAACTCATCACTGAATGTTCATATACACTGTGTAAATTTTGAATACTTTTGTAAAAAGGTGTATGTGACAAACCTGAGAACTTATCCCTATTTGTAAATGAAGAATATACTACTTGGATAAGTGAAGTAGTATGATGGAATTAATAAATCATTTGAAACGGTGACGGATGGGACCCGAAAATTATACTCAGTAAGCCAAGACAATAAATACATTCATGGTCTCATCATAAAGAGTCCATATTACCTACACTACGTTTTCTATAGATCTTCCAACAAAAAAATTAATAAACCCATGAATCACAGAGTACAAGAACCAAGAGTCACTTGAAGTTAGTAAAAACGCATATTTCAAACCAATAGCGAGACCGAATAAAGTAATCAGACGATTCGAAATATGCAAAATCATGGAGAATCACTGTTCAGGTGAATGATTTAGGTGGAATTTCGTCCTCTAAGCTGTATGGTTTGGTCATGGAGCTCTCATTGTTCTTATGAACATCATCAGCCTAAACTACAGGTATGTGTGCCTGGTCCTACGTTGTAGCTGACTGACTGACAGGTGGAAGAGGTTATTGTTGACCTTCAACCTGTCATTGCCTACCTCGTTATTTTGATTGTGCCTTTCTTTGATATGATTCTCGATCCCATATTTGTCTATGATTTTTCTGATTACATCGCCTTCGTTTATATCAACGTCATCGCCACATTCAAACATTACTGATTGTTAAGTTAGCCAATGTAAAGTTTTATCGTATTAACTTATTCATTATTTTTGAATTTCTAGTGAACACAACCCTGACCGTTGTTGCTACCTTGACGTGGTGGTCGGGCTTGCCTATCGTGATGAAGCAACCGAGCTATACTGGCTGGAACAACCGTTCCTCAAGGTCCTACCATGCCAGACAGGTCGGTTGAAGAGCGGTAAGACTAAAAGCAACAAACCCTAGGTCCGAAGGCGAAGTCGTACTGCTGACTGTAGAGGGGTGTGACAGCATTAAGGTGTTTTCTTCAGACAACCAGCATGACAGCGATGCTGCCTTCCCACAAGGAGGGGTGGGGTTAGAAAAGGTCGGCCCTAAAAATGCACACTTCACCTTACCTCACGGATTTCCGTCTCCGGCGGTAAGGCCCTTTGAAGAACGGAGCTAACACGTCGAAAACCTTCCACGAAAAGGCCGTGCGCGACCGGCCTCAAGCAGTTGTCCGTTGGGCACTGCGGTCACGCTCTCAGGTCACTGAGACCACCTCTAATCCGATTTCCTTTTCAGGTACCTCCAGAAGAACCCTTCCTCGGTGTGGGCAACCGGGAAGCGATAACCGCCCTCATACCTCTAACAGCACTTGAGACCACTGACTGAGTGAACACAACTGTTAAAGCAGTCACGTAAGACATAAGCTTCTACTCAAAAGTGACACTCATGTTGGTGCAACAGAGATATAAGATAAATTTTATGAGACGGTTTATGATTTTACTGATGTCCGAAACTTGACAGATAAAGTAAAATACGAACTCACAACGGAAACAATAGCCACATCTGCTTAATTCAGTAGTAAAACTGACTAACTGAGAAAATAAAATCAGGAGACTACGAATATAATCCCAACAGAGTAGATTCTCGCGGGTGGTCAACGTCTTCAACATTAAATGTAAAGAATTAAAAAACAAAATCCCATTCCTAGATATTTTAATCTGCAGAATAAACATAGGATCACTAGAAACGCAAGTATACAGGGACCTGTCACATAGACCAAATACTAAACTTCAGCAAACAACCAACGTACAAGCAGGATTGTGTACATTCGTATTAAAAATAAACAGAAAATCTCTATATCTCCCACTAGGCAAAAAATGAACCGATCGACCAATGAGAAACAAACCCCAGAAATCCGAGAACGGACAGTCTTGTTATATGAAAAGCATCTCAGAAAACAGATATCTTGAAACCCTAGGAATTCAATGTCACCAAACCGATGTAACCGTTTCAAACCGAAAGATAAGTTATTATTACATCAAATTCAATATGGTAGAACACTTCACTCCTAATTGCTTACTATTATATATGTATACGCGGAGGTACTACCAGGGCGCCCACAACGAAAATGACCTGCTCAAGGGATCGATTTCTGAGCCTTTGATATATAGATCTAACAGACGAAACAATAAAACGATACTAGATCCAGTGACTAAAGTTCATACGCCTTCCGTTTCCTAGGGGTCCTAGAGCTCATACATATCACTATTATGAAATTAGTTCTTTCCGGCTCTCGTAGATGGGCCAGTTTAGGCACCGAACGTCAACTCTTCTTACTCTCATTTTCGTTAAAACATCCCCCAACATGTGACGGCAGTGAGTACTACTTTCCAGGAAGAGGTCATGAAAGCATTGAGGTATGGGATCATTTCAAGGAAAGTGAACACTCACTAACTTCGGAAACACCAGGTCGACAGCCAAATATACGGCAGCTAAAGCAAACAAATGCAAAACTATTTACGAAGTAAATTGTATCAGTCGAGAAAAAAAAATACTAGACTGAACCCCTTCTTCAGTTACTCATATGAGGACTAGGAGTGAAATATATGTAATCATATTAGCGCACGTATACAATTATGAGCAACAATCAAAACGGAAAACGCTGAAATCCAGGATCAAGAAAATTTTAAGGATTTCTAGAACTATGGCATTCAAACCAACCGGTAGTCAAACATATCGAAAAATATCCGGTACGCTAAACCATACGAAAAAGGTTGGTTAACCAAATGATCAGAGACCAACCGAACAAGGCAGTCAAGAGTAATACAAAGACGAATGTAAACTTCTTCGTCTTCTCGTTAAATCAATCCGAAAATGTTAGAAAAATAATCAAAACGAAACTGAATCAATCCGTGCATTGGTCGAAAATTGAAGTTATTTACTTATTATGCTTTGAAATACAATATAACATGTCCACAGTATTACTAGCATACGCTTTTCTATTTATTTACCAAATACGTTTCATACTCTTTAAATACATAACATACGTATAATGGATACAAAGAAACAAAATACAACGTGTGAAGAAATATACAAATGAAGAAGAGTACTGTAAAGAGCTAGTATTTTGATGCACTTGAGCGCCACAGCATATATGGTATCAGTAAGCACGGTGTAACAAACAAAGCGAAACCAATCCACTCAATCTGTTGAAAGAAGAAAAAGAAAAGCAACACAAATACTGCTGTATATTTATGAAACCACTTTTCCTAATAAATAATTTTAGAGAATTCCCGGTAAACGATGCAAGATTTTGAGACGAATAACTACTTGTGTAAAAGTAAAGTGTTATCAGAAAGTGGAGCATTTCATTCTTACACATGATTACGAGTTCTCATACCGAGATAATCAGTCGATAAGCCAGTCATAAATAACGTAGGACGTGGTATGAATCTATTTCGATCCAAGCTGCCACATCTCATTAGCGCAGCAAGATAGGAACTTGACAAGATTAAAAGTGAGAAAATAATATCGAATAAAGCAGAGAGTGAACTACAAGAAATATAATCTAGGTAGGACGAGTGGGATTGAAGAATGAATCGATCTGGTTACATACCTAAACTTATCAATAAGAGCACACCTTTAATAAATTGTTTAGTTGAAGTATGCAAATAAAATTGTATTATTGGGACGCAGTGGATTCGTTTTATTAACGAAGTAGAATGGCACATAGTAATAAAACGTTAGATTAAGAATAAACCTTAACTGATAAAATGAATTCATTTTATTCTGTGAACATCCTTTCAACTGTAATTCAAGTTTTTTAATGCGATAAAATGACGATAGAACCTTGAAATGACTTGCTTTCGAAAACAAATGAATTCAGAATTCATTTTATATTAAATAGAATGAGTACACTGAACGTTCTTGATTTCCACGAGACTATAATTAATGGAACGAGTCTTGGATTTTGGCGCGAAATTTATCCATACAGTTGCCAAAATATCAATTTGGCATTATGACTGACGTCCATTAGTGATGGAAACCATAAATCTAATCCCTAACCCCAACCATCAACAGTAAATCTTAATTCTAGTTCCTCACCATAGTTTATAACCCTCACTTGGTCCTAGCTAGTAGGTGGACATTCTCAAGGTCAGTTAACGTCACTCAAAGGTCGTACATAAATTATAGTCTCACCATTTCTACACTTTTTCAGTACATTTATTCACTGCGTAATATATTTTAGATGTAATATGGTATATGTTCATTGATGACTGTAATAATGTACTGTGGACATAAGTTTTACAGCTCTAAAAATGATAATATTTGATTGCGTTATCTACAGAATAATCTTAAATGAAATTGTTAGCGGAATATAGATTGGATTAAAGCACGTAACGTGCAGAATTATGTTGGGACACACTGATTGGCTGTTTCTTAATCAATCAGCGCTAGTGGATATTGGTAGAAGACTCTGGGGTCTTCTCTTGTAAAAACTATCAATATACTAATGTTTTTCTTATTGTGCTTCTTACTTTCATCTACCCTTGTTATTTAGAATAGAGTTTCATTCCTGCTCAACCGTCTTATGATTTGGGGATTTATCGAGTATCTAAGAGTACTAAACAATAGGAATAGCTGGGTCATAATAAGAGAAATTATAACAAATTAAATGAAGACAAAAAGACCATAACATATATTGTATAACGACCAGTGAAAATTTTACTAACTGTATGAGAAGTGAAACGCTTGTTATACTCCTTCAGTCTGTGAATTGTAAGTAGACCAGGTGCAGAAGAATACAAAAACTACAGAAAAAAAATAATAGCGTGTTTTTATTTAGCATGTACAAACATTATTTTATTTCATAAAAAAGGTTAACCAGTCACAAGAAAAATGTAACTATTAGAACAATTTCCCTCTACATTCGATGAAAACTTAAGAAGTATGAAGGGTATGGGATCTGGTCCTGCTTATTAAAGTGCTCTCACATTTCGTGACTCAACACACAAGCGCTAAACAGACTACAGGTATATTCTAGGTTGCTTTACTGTTAGCTAACTTTACGACAGTATCTTGTGATCTGAGCGAGATGTTAACTTATGGTAGGAGACAGATCTAGTCATTCTGTTTTCTTCGTTAGATTGATATATTTCATGCTATACTTTTTGACCAAGCGCAATAAGGCCTTTAATGACATTTTAGAGTATACCAGTCCACACATTATTTATCCTAGCTTTTGAACAGCCTTTCATAACTCAGACACCATGTGACAATTTAATTACTTTTACCTATATAACAAATCTATTCTTTTCAAAGGAAGAAGTCAAGACTTTCAGCACATACCTCTTAGATTACTTTTTATTACTTAAACACATAAACAATGGTAAAAAGAAGCACCGAATAGATATGCGAGACAAATCATTCGATTTGTGTGAGGGCTAGGATACTGCCCGGGTGCCCAAACCGAAGTAGGTGGTTTTCTTACGGGCCACATCTGGAGCCTTCGACTTAAAGGTTCAATTAACAAGGCAGTGAAGCAACGTAAGGAGATGTAGTCCCATGGTAGCCGGTGACCAATAATTGGTTTATACGCCATTTGTCCCCTCTGGATCTTGGAGCCCATGTGAACCATTGGTTTGGGATCAGGGTTTTCCAACTCCCCTAGGTGGACTCTCAATGTCCACCAACCCGGTTAAGGCGCCGGACATTCGGTTTTCGTCCTCTCAGTTTCGTAAACAACACCCCGCCGCGAGAAGGTAGTAAGTAGAACTTCCCTCATACGTCTATGCCCTTGTAGTTCTACATTTTGTGTGTACGTCAGTACGGTTACTATTTTATCCGGTTACTGGTTCTTTGTGACACTACATATTATCTATTTTTAATCATATTAACGCTTGTAATAAGCAAGATTCTGAGTTGGCACGTTCTTCTTCTCTGCTTCGCTTTTCATCTTTATATCTGTCCGAGTAAATGAATGCCTGAAATAAATTCATTTGACTATATTTATTTATTTATAAATGAATAAAATTTATTTATTTAAACACATAAATATTGGTACAAGAGGGCACCAAATATATATGCGCCACACAAAACAATGAGAATTCGAAGAGAGAAAAAAAGGAAGGTAAGGAGCGTAAAAAAAGAACAAAAACAGATTAGTGTAAGGTAGTGTAATAATAATAAAAATAATAATAGTAATAATGGGGAAAACGGAAAGGTACAATCAGAACAAATCTTTCAGTTAAGGAAGAAACAACCACTTTTATGAACAAAGTAAAAGAAGGTTACAGCAGGATTGCCAGTGGCTTCTATTCTGAGCCATATCTGATGTCTCTAGCCACTGTGTAGCACCATCTCTCAGACCCCAACCAGGGAGTCGTGAAGAACCAACACACGCCAGTCCTTTGCAGTTTTCGTTCATGCCACGACACCATGTCATGCACTGACCACCTCTCCGCTTCTTCCAACCAGTCCCAGAGTCGGCAAATAATGCACGAAGTGGAATTCTCTGGGACGACATTCGTAAAACATGTCCAAATCACTGAAGTTGGTGTTTCAAGATGGTGACACCAATTGCATTATCGTCTCTGTGCCCGAAAACACGGTGCCGAACCTCTGCATTACTAACATAGTGTTGCCACTGAATGTCAGCAATCCTTCGGAGACAGCGATGATCAAACACAGAGAGTCGTCTAACATCCTCAACTCGGAGAGGCCAGGTTTCACAAGCATAGAGCAAAACTGCTCACCGACGCGTTGTAGAACCGACCTTTTACAGCCAGACCAACATCACGAAGGCGCCAAAGACGGCCCAGATTGGGTCATCCGACTAAACTCGTGTCTACTTTTTTATTACTGCCGTCGTCCATTTATTTATTTATTATTTATTTATTTGGACACATGAATATTGGTACAGGGGAGCGCCAATATATATGCGCCACACAAAACAATGAAAATTCGAGAGGAATACAAAGAAAGAAAAAAAAAGCTAAGGAGCGCAACAAAAAAAAGAGAGGACAATAACGAAGAGATTGGTGTAAGGTAATGTGCTAGTAATCAGGGAACGCAAAGGTACAATCGGAAGAAATCTTTCAGGTAAGGGAGACAGAACCACTTTTTATGAAGAAAGTAAAAGAAGGTTACAGCAGGATCGCCACTGGCTTCTATTCTGAGCCATATCTGATGTCTCTAGCCACTGTGTAGCACCATCTCTCAGACCCCAACCAGGGAGTCGTGAAGAACCAACACACGCCAGTCCTTTGCAGTTTTCGTTCATGCCACGACACCATGTCATGCACTGACCACCTCTCCGCTTCTTCCAACCAGTCCCAGAGTCGGCAAATAATGCACGAAGTGGAATTCTCTGGGACGACATTCGGAGAACATGTCCAAGCCACCGAAGTCGGTGTTTCAAGATGGTGACACCAATTGAATTATCATCTCTGTGCCCGAACACACGATGCCGAACCTCTGCATAATATAATATATAATATAATAATAATATATAATATAATACGCAAACTAGCAAAAATTTAAAGCTTACGGAACTTTGCTGCAAATCACCAGATTTGTAAGTAATTGTAGCACTAGAAAAATTATGGACGCCATTTATTTGAGGTTTGAGGATTAAGACATGAGTGACGTTCGAGGAGGCAGGTATAACAGTCCACCGAGCAGAAGGGCTCCCATGAATCAGAGTAAATTCTGTTTCGGCAAAGATATCAAATAGCTCAACATCTTTGGCAGCGCGGCTGTGTAGAAGGACAACAGCATGTGTTTATGAATTAGGGGACGACTATGTATAACTATAATATTAAAAAAAATTAGTCTGTCCAAATGCAAACATGGAAAGAAAACCAAGTAAAAGCAACGTAGTTTCGACCTGAGTTAGTCAAGAATGCGTCAAAGGCCAATATGAACAAAACAATCACTTAATACGGATAATACATAACACCCGAAACAAGATAACTAAAGCTATGAAAACGCGAGAGGATGACGTAAATGAATGAATAGACTACTAAAACAGAACTGATTACACTTTTGTACTTAATACCAAAAACATAATCTCAAATCGATAGAACCATTGAACCACGAGAAGCGAGGTGGCAGTTATAAAGCGTTTACTGCTATACGCAACACTCCAAAGCTAATGTAGGATTCGCTCTTTTTTCCTCACGTTCAGTGTTTGATCAATAAAGCTACTTCATGGGTTGTATTCAATCCTTACCTAGTCACTCGTTTTCTTAACCCTCAGATTACATTTCTCCTACAGTTGTCTATATCCTCAGTTTATCCTCATATATGAGGATACTATACTTACAAAAAGTAGTTTAACTTCCCTTCACAACTAAATCAATAACAAGAAAATGCTAGAATTGAGACTAGTTTTCCCCTGAAACAAGGCGAACCGACTGTTCCAATAATACACTACCTCAAAGAGAACGCATGACTCAAAAGGTTGCCCCAAGTATCAAATACACAACTTTCATATGCTGTTTGCACACTATTTCAAAATCCTCAAAATATCAACACAACAGGTGCAGCATAGAGAGTAAAATCTAAATGTGTGAAATTACTTGAAAACAATGACTTGCGAGTATAACGACATTAAAACTCACGACTCATGGAAATTATATATTGTATATAGAATAGTGATTTCTTTTTCTTGAAAGACGAACTCATTCAAGATTTCCTTGGAGACAGCCAGTCGGACATTGTCCACGGAATCTGAAGACACCAGGACAACCAAATAAACAGCCAAAAGGATAGCTAAACTAAGCCTCATCACGTTGAACAAACTTCAAAATACCCCCCAAGCAAGGTGCACTACGTGGCAAGGTCACTCATGTGTAATACGATAATATTTTTAATGTATAGAAAAATGCAATAAAATGAATATGCTCCTAATCAGCCTCTCTGTCAAAAAGGGGTAAATTGACAACATTTTGCGTTCAAATCTTCTAGCTATCAAGAAGATTGATTTGGAGGTGTGTTGTCATTGTGTTTATTAGATCCGAGTGAGAATGGTAAGAATAGGGATTATGAGGACTAATCGGACGACATCAGTGAACTTACAGGGCTTCAGGCCACAGAATGAGTGAGGCATTAAGCCAAATGTGTGTGGATTCAGTGAGATGTCCATGAGCCCTAACCAGATAATTTATCAGGCTGAACCATTTCTAAGTGAGACGACGTATCAATGAACATCAGACAGTCTGTCGTACAATTTAAAGGTCAAGGATGACGTAAAGATTAGTTGATTGAATTCCATGGACAGGAGTTTTCGGCAGTGGTTCCGCCTTGTACACTCGTAACATTTTAATACTAATGTGTGATGTTTATTACTGAGATTACTCTTGCTAGCCAATCATTAAGAAAGTCGATTAGCCTGGTTACACAGTATCCTTCAACTAGCCGCGCTGCCAAAGATGTTGAGCTATTTGATATCTTTGCCGAAACAGAATTTACTCTGATTCATGGGAGCCCTTCTGCTCGGTGGACTGTTATACCTGCCTCCTCGAACGTCACTCATGTCTTAATCCTCAAACCTCAAATAAATGGCGTCCATAATTTTTCTAGTGCTACAATTACTTACAAATCTGGTGATTTGCAGCAAAGTTCCGTAAGCTTTAAATTTTTGCTAGTTTGGGTATTATATTTCCAACTCCCATAACATTGTTGTATAATTATTCTCTGTTTGATTATCTCATCCGTTGTTTATGCCCCCAGACTAAAAGACTAAGCACCTTGCGACTGACTCATCATTATGTGACTACCTGATCTACATGTTTTCACATCGGAGTCATATCACCGTCAAAGCTATCTCACCCTATCGGTGAAGTCAGGAGTACTCTTTTGCGAGAACCTCCAGTAGTAAGTACAATCTAAGAAATGGAAAAGCGTACTTTGTACAAACTCAAACAAAATAAATTCCGTGTGATCTTGATGTTTCCACACTGACTGTAGTGAACTCTTACTATTCTTCGACAAGTAATCGTTGTCCAGTGTCTTTTCTTCGAACTTAGTAGTGGTCCAGATTTCTGGTTTATTTATGGCGATGGTTCAGTGTTAGTTGGTTGTCACTACAATCGCCAATTTAATAAACGTTGAAAAACGTTCGGTCAACCCTAACCGCCGATCGATAAAAATACAGGTAACATTCCGTAGTTGGTGAAGTGTCCAGTGATGAGGGCTCAAAAAGAGTACGTGCATGACATCTAATAAGATTAGAATAACTTATTTTTTGTATCCTCATCTGGCTGTTGATTTCTTCACACAAGAATGAATAACACGCCGAAGTTCTGGTGTGGTGTTGTATGTTGAATGTAAATCACGCTTATTATATGTTCGGCTTCTAGAATCGTGTGGTTAAGAACATGTACCACTACACCTTCACCCCGAATTGCAAAAAATAATGTTTTGGTGTCGTTTTAGACACCATACAAGGACATTGCTACTGCTCTTTCCATACTTTACATTTACCATGATTGCTCTGTTTGTTATTTTTTATCTGAATTCCAGTCCATACCTGACGGTAAGAGTACGTTTAAAAAAACTTGGGGATTATATTTCATACATAACTAATACCTCAACTGTAGGTTAGATTTTCCTACAACACACCAAGGTACGTCGGTGATACGTTATACCTTACAAGTAAAACAATATGCGATCGTAGGATAATTTTTTGCATCATTTAGTGTGGCGAAAAACGTAAATTGTATAAAATGCGTTGACGGATGATAACGATAGTTCACACGGCAACTGAGTTGCACAGCCATATTTGTACGATAAAATACAAAATGCAACAAGAAGATAAATTGCTAAAGCACACAACAAGATCATTGGTGAAAGAAAAACCATGTCTCTGACAACCAAATGACATAATGATCTAAAACGTTGGCCGCTCAAAGGAAGACAGGTAGAATCAGGCTGTTAAGTAGCACGTAATTAAACTTTTCATGCACAAACGCACGAATAGATATCAAAAGACCCTATAATTGATGTTTAACCTACTGGTTCAATAGTTTGCAGTGAAACAACAGAATAGCTCGAGACAGTAATCTTCGAAATGTTGCTATTTCTGCAATAACTTCATCTATTAAGGCACTGTCTCACTAATTTGGCTTTCATCATATACGACAAGTCCATATTAGTCTGCATAATGACACAGTATGGAAGGATGAAATGCAAACAGTGTGATAGGAAGGAGTTCATATTACATCCTGAAGAACTGCCACAGTATGGACTAGACTTCCCTTAAATGATGTGTTTGTTGTAACTTGATTTGATCAAGATTAGAGGACATCACATCGTTTCAATTTTTGACTTTGTCGAACACAAACAGCCAATACATTTTTCCCTAGGATATGTATATTGATGACATAAATCTACACAAAGAAATGGTATCGGCATCTATGTCTTGCAAGTGTTTGATCTACAAAGTAATTGAGGTAGGAACTGACAATCGTGCGATGAAATAAGACACATATTCCTTACTGAAGAATATAAACGTGAGACTTTTAAGGTAGGCCTGTTAAGCGAAAGAACCTATTCTGTCCACAGCCATTTGAACCATTTGAATCTGTAGCATGGCGTCGAGTCGAGATTGACTATGAACGCCGCTACCAAAAAGCACGTGCCAAAATATCCATAAAATCCTCCGGAAGCCAAGTATCAGAAGGAAGTTAATGGACCCAGTCGAGATATATTTGCTGGCGATCTCGTGGTATCTAAAGTATACCGAGATCGTGCCAGAAATGGAACAGGTGGAAGCAGGAGAAAGGAGTATGTGCGTACCGTACCAAAAACCGTGGAAAAATGATGGAATGTAATGGAAGCACAAAATAGCTATAACCAGCACAGTCAAACAAAAGCACATTAAAACAAACACCAGTACAGTTGGTTATAATAATAATTGTTTTTTATTACACCAGTCGTGTTCTCGTGATAAAAGTGAGTCACTACAAATCATCTATGGGAGATGCTCTTCATAAAGTCTATTCCTCAATTCGACATTATTACTTGAGCATATGCCCCTATATGGTAGCTTTAAGCGACTACTAAGCTGTATGTTTTCGGAAATCACCTAACGTGTTGGTCCTAGTACTGTAAAATAGATGAATTTTCATATTAATAACAGCATTAGACAAACAGAGACTATATTGTCATCAACATTTGTGAAAGATATGATAAAATAGCTTATATATATACGGTGCATTTTGATATCTACAGGCACACTATGAAAAATTCAGTAGTCGTAAAGTTACTGCGAAAGTTATGCAATGCTTTAAAACATGCAAATTACAGGTCACACTGAATGTAAATATGACCTTGTCCTAGTCTTATTTTGGATTATGAATTCCCTGTTGACGACACCATAGTTTCCTTGATTTCGGTATTTAAAACATGTAGGTTCATACCTTATTGCCATGTTTTGCGCAATAACATGTTGTTTTTCTGGGCTTTTTTATCGCGAAATTTTAGGAATTATAATTCCTAAAATTATATATTTATATATATACTGTCTACAAAGTGAACTGAATCGCTACTAACATTTAGGAATGTAAATCTAGACTTGTAAAAGTTCTCTATCTATATTTACAGTTCTGTATTGTTTCATCAAAAATTCGTTTTCTGTGTGTTTTTCGAAGTTTTCGACATTGAAAATCAATTGTGTGTGGTAATATCAACTCGCCCTACTAACAATCTGATATAGATCAGTAATTCTTGGAAAGTTTGGTGTCCTTTACTCTCGATGTTCTTAGGTCCTGTAAGCTAGATGATTACGTTGGAGGAGCGTTCACTGTCATTTTGGACAACATTGTCAACGCCCACTTAATGTAGGAGTCAGCGTCTTATTTATTACACGATTTTCCCTGGCAATTTCGATCGTGACTGGTTATTCTCATGTGTTTTACCGTCCTTAGTCATCTTTGTGTTCAAGTTGACTGTTTGACCGGGTTGTTTTTTAACCTTTTTCAAACGGGTTAGTAGATGAAGTACAAACTGTGCCCATTGATTACTGAATAATTTTAATCCTATGCCCCAAAAACTTCAACGATCCGAATTTTTGACGTTTTCCTGGTTAAATTCACGTTTGTATTTGTCCATTTGCATGAACATCGGTGATAGCGCATCATGTCGTTTCACTGGTAGTTTGCGTTCGTGTTTGATCTATTTTGTCCGATATGATACTTATCACAATGGAAAGCATCTGTTTTATAGGTGATTTTGAGTCTGTCTTCTGCTGTTGTATCATTTGGTCTGCATGGAATAACATTGTTTACTTCTAAAGAGGTACTACTCGTATTTCAGAATATTTCTACACTTATGCAACTGATTTTGCAAATTTGATCGCATCGCCCGTTTAAATCACTAGAATTTCGAGTAACCCGTTTATGTTTGCTTCCTTCAATCTTCACTTTAGTTGCTTTATTGTTACCTTTATGTTATGATTTTGCTTATTACTCAGTCAGTCAGTCAGTAACAACGTAGAACTTCGTACGTACGTACATCAGTTCGAGTTGCCACACCACATTAGCACACAGATGTAGTGGCCGATTCAAATCCCGTAGTGGTAGAGGTAATAAGAGTATAAGCAGTAATCGGGAAAATTAGTGTTTGGAGATGTTATTCAAGGAGTATAATCCAGTGAAATAAATTTGGAAAGAGGAAAAAAAGGGACATGAAGAATTCAGAAAATTAGAATTTGGGAGAACACAAAGAGTAGATGCACCTGCGCCATTGCAAACGATTTTAAGCCATGTCATTCAAAGTCTCTAACCATCGGTTGCTATCATCTCGCGGTCCCCAACCAGGTAATCTACACCTACCAACATGACTCAGTCCACTTGTCAGTGACTTCATGGACTTGTGCCATGTTTTGGTCTGGCCGCCTTTAGCTTTCTTCCAACCTACTCCTATACCACTGAACATCGCACGTCGAGGCAGTCGGTCGTTGGGCATACGTAACACGTGTCCCAACCATCTCAACTGATGAAGTTTCACTACGTCATCAATTGATTTGCCATCCTTACCTAGTACCCGTTTTCTAACAACTGTGTTACTTACTCGATGGTCCCATGATATACGAACAATATTTCGAAGACACCTATGATCAAATACTTGTAACCTACGAATATCCTCTACTCTTACCGGCCATGTGTCACTGCCATAAAGTAGGACGGAACGAACTGATGCGCAGTAAATCCGTCCTTCTCTTATTACTACTCAGCCATTTCTATTGCTTAGTATTCTTGAACACCAATTCACTCGACAAGTCCCCAAATCAGAACACGGTTGAACAAGAACGAAATTATATTCCAAATAACTAGGGTTGATGCAAGTAGGAAGCACAATAAGAAAAAAACATTGGTATATTTATGGTTCTTACAAGAGAAGACTCCAGAGTCTTCTCCAAGTTTCCGCTAACACTTTAACTTTCGCTGTTCCAATTGTGTTCATATTTATCCATTGCCAGTTTTGTGAATTTGGATAGACATATTGTTGTTTCCGCTTATTTATATTGCGTACAGATTGTAATAGTGCATGAGGCTTCAGTAGGCGGCTAATAACCAGCCTGTCGGTTTTCATTGTTTCTATTCATGTTGGTATGTATTAACCATGCTAAACATTTGTTGTTTAGCTTGTATTTTATCTGCGAGAGTGTATCGTTAAAACTTCCACGATTTCCGGTTTATATCTAATGTTTAAGTTAAAGTGCAGTTCTTGCAACACTTGTGTATTCCCTTTTTGCCGTACTGTTTTTAATCCTATTATCATTTTAGAGGGATGCCAGAGGAAATCAAACATCTTCGGAGCACTTACTGATGGGTAAGGTGCTTATACAATCGTTTCTTGTTTGATCACAGCTTTGTTCACCTTATCTTGAATATATATTCTGAAACTATTTATTTAGTTTCTTGCATATTGTATTCCAAGCAGAAACAGACTAATTGTCTATGCATTCTTAAGTTCTTGTGTATCATACTCATCAGGCCTAGTGTTCTTAAGCCATTCAACTTGATCTACCAAACAAGGAATCTTACACTCACGCTCTTTGCGGAAGATAATCACTGGATATTAGTCGTCGGTACTAATGCCCAACTTATATTTCAGACCGTCAATCTCATCAATCTACTAGGTTCCGCGCCCATCAAATTTAGTATACGGTTTTTACTAAAGCTTCCTTCTGCTTTTACTACTTTAAATGTTTCTGACATTTTTATTAGCTGGCTGAAGAACTGTTAAAATTTCTCTGACAATATCTACAATTAGTCCATATTATTTCATTGTATAAGTGTGCTAATGATAATAGGCATAGTAATGCCAAACTAATAGTGATTTACAGCATTCTAGAAGTATAATAGTGGTACTGAGGTGACATAAGATCTCGATGAGATTTTTTTTGTACAGCTCAGAAACAGAAAGTCATCTTGAAATGCATGTAATATATCTATCGCTCACCTAATAACATATCCTTCATATTATGTAAATATTAGGTTTCGATATATTAGAGGCTCTGTAAATATGTTATACAATTATTACATATAGCCGTATGAGTTACGTCAACGATCCAATCAGAGCTGCTACCGTGGTTTATTGGTTGAATCTGTTTGTAGAGTCAATGCAGTCGGGCTATAGCGGTCAAAAAAATTGGTCCGCAAAATCCCACCGTGCTAGCCAAGTTTAGTAGGGAGCGGTAAGGTCAAAAACAGCAAATTTAAGATTTTACTGAGTCATACTGCTAACTTCACTAAAGTGTAGTGTCAATAAAGTACTTTTTTGTGAATGACCAACATCTTTAGCGATGCTACCTTCACAGCAACGAGAGGGTGGCTTTAAACAGGTTAACCCTAAAAATAGTATGCCTTTTGCCATACAGATATCAGATACTGGCGGGAAACTTTAACAGGTATGGAGTCGACACAACGGAAACTGTTTAAAAGGTATGGGTGTACATCCATTGTCGGAAAACTTCTCTGTGAGTTGTATGGTGTTACTCTTAGGTGGTTAAAACCTTTAACACTAATCCGCCTTTTTAGTTCTAGCCGAAGCGTCAGGTATTTACATTTGCATTAAGCGAATAAAATAAATTTGACTTCCCTGAAAAAGGCTGTATAGAGTCATTTCGAGTAGGAAAAATTGGCGTCCACTTCCAATCTTGCTAAGGCCTCTGGAGAACTTCATATTCTACTGTTCGAAAAAACGGACTAGCGTGGTGTTCTGGATATTGTACAATCACGTTCATAATTATCTTAAAACATGAAGTGTTACCTCTCCCATTCTGTGTTTATCGGCTTATTTTATGATAAATATCTTGTTACACTGCTGTATCCGGCTCAATATCGTTGTTTAGTCTCAATCCTTTCCTTAACTTCAAGTATTAATTAATCTTCAAAAGTATGTTATTTTCAATATTTAATGACCAGTGCATTTCTATAGATAACACAAACTGCTCCGACGTTCAATTATGCCAAGATGTTGATAATCAGTTGCAAATTTGTTTAACAGAAGAGCTCAAATCCCTACATTCGTACTCAGAAACACCTCCCAATCATTCCCATTATTCTTCTCAGTTAAACGCAGTCAGTCATCCAGCTCATACTGTTTCAAACCAAATATCTGTGATTGGTTCAAAAGACCAGACGTCTAATAGTACCGTTGTTCAAGACGACAATTTTGTAGCGGATATTGAACTAATTAGTCTTACCAGTCAACGACAGTCAATCCCACGCTATCGTCTTCGAGTAGATCCATGCACTGCCTTCTTAGGTTATAGAAACAAGGATTTTAGATCTGCCAGACGAATTACTCGTGACTTTTCTAGCAAATATCCCTTGCCCAAATCATCATCCGAATTAGCTACAATAGGATACATTAGTTCGTATACAACCAATACTCTCAATAGAACAACTGAATTGAACTCAGAGGAGGACCGTTCTGAAGGAGAAGACGAAAACGACGACACTCTCAGTTTAACAACAGAACAGATTGAAAATACTCTTGATTATTTTAGTAAGCAGATTTTTTCGATTTGTTTGTTTGCCCAAGTTATCAACGATTAAATCCAATTATTTAACTTTTCGGGAACGTACTTTCCAGGATACTCTCTGATCAGCCTAAATTACGCAAACAATATTCTTTAGCCATAGTTTAAAACAAAATTCTGTCTTTTTAGCATCTGGAAGTATGGCGTGAGGTGTGTACTTTTTAATGTAGTTGTTTAATTTAAATCTATGCTCAGTTAGTAGAAATGTAATCAGTTTATTTAAATGATTTAAAAATCAAAAATATAATTCATTAGGAATACCACACAAATCCTCTGTAAAATGATTCTAACTGAAGTAGGATTGAGTCAATGGAAGGAAAGCGACTCCAGTCTATGCAATCAATGGCCCTCATCTTGAGCTTAGCACATATGAACATACCTAATGGGTGAGGTATTTTACATGGTTGATTTACTGGAAGAAATGATTCACAGTCGATCAAAATTTTTTATTATCAGTTATATTTCTTTCCCAACCAACATTCTTTTTTTCTGAGTTTCATTTCCTGCTTCACAGAATTTATATACTTTCGCACAAGGTTTCATGTTAATGAATTATTTTGACATTACTTGGTTTCATAAAGTGACGTAAGTGGGGTAGAGTGCCAACCTAAAATAGCTGTTGAAAGGTCAATTACTTATACTAGTTAATTTCAACCCTTGGTGGTTTTGTTATTTCTTGTCTTGACTGAATAATTTTTTCATAGGTTTTTTATGACATCGGGTACCAGGTAATCTTATTAACTTTTATTGATTGTCGATAATGTAAATAAGCAGTGAAATCGGAAATTTTAAACTCAAATATAAGCTTAGTCACATTTGAATCACTTCGTTGGTTCCTTGTTTAACGTTTTCCACCCTAACACACTTGCTGCATAGAGTGCCTCTTATTTCGGTATGTGTTAGTGTTATCATCTTCGTTGGTTCAGTTAGTCACAACTTTTTCACTCATAACCCGACCGAAGCTGCTACCTTGACGCGGTGGTCGGGCTTGCCTATCGTGATGACCCAACCGAGCTATATTGGCTGGAACATATGTTCCTGTAGGTTCTACCATGCCAGGCAGGTCGATTGGAGAACGTTAAGACTAAAAGCAGCAACTCAAGGTCTGAGGGCGAAGTCGTACTGCTGACTGTAGAGAGGTGTGACAGCAGTAAGGTGTTTCCCTCGGACAACCAGCATCTGCAGCGATGCTGCCTTCCCACAAGGAGGGATGGGGTTAGAAAAGGTCGACCCTAAAAATGTCACACCTCACCTTACCTCACGGATTTCCGTCTCCGGCGGTAAGGCCCTTTGAAGAACGGAGCTAACACGTCGAAAACCTTCCACGAAAAGGCCGTGCGCGACCGGCCTCAGGCAGTTGTCCGTTGGGCTCTGCGGTCACGCTCCCAGGTCGTCAAGACCAACACTAATCCAATTTCCTTTTCAGGTTCCTCATGAAATACACTTCCACGGTGTGGGCAGCCGGGAAGTGACATCAGCCCTCATACCCGTAACAGCACAAGAGACCAAGTTGGTCACATTCAAATCCTTCCTACACCTCCTAATACCTCTCTTATCTCCATGACTAACCCTCCTCACGTCTCTTTATCACCTCGCACCGCTAGGGCAAACGATTCGAGTACGTGGAACGCTATTCCTGGTCTCCTGAAACCATGCTCTAAACTACACGTAGGAGCTTTTAACGTCCGAACACTTTGCCAAACAGGACAGCAGGCTTCCTTAGCTAGGACTTCAGAATCTCGCGCCATCGATGTGTGCTGCGTCTCGGAAACGCGCATACAGGATCCGAGTAGCGTCATTCATTTGACCTCACCATGCCAAAATAAAGAACCGACTCGATTTACGCTTCGTGTATCTGGAAACCCTGATTCTGCTTCCCGTGGCCTCGTCGGCGTAGGTATAGCATTGAGTCCTAGGGCAGAACTAGCTCTCTTAGAGTGGATCCCAGTAGACAGTCGTTTGTGCGCTGTCTGACTAAACGGAACAGTAAGGATCCGGAAAGATAGGGACACTCGTCATTGCCTTTTCGTCATTTCTGCCTATTCTCCCACTGACTGCAGCTCAGATGATGTAAAAGATGAGTTTTACAGAAAGCTTTCGGTCCTTCTTCGAAAAGCTAAGCGCTCGGATGTAGTAATAGTGGCCGGTGACTTTAATGCTCAAGTAGGTAAACTAAGCGATGGAGAAAGACACCTAGGTGGATCTTATGGTGTCGTGGCTCAAAGAACAGATAATGTCGACCGTCAGTTGCAGCTATGCTCAGATAACCGCCTGTTCCTTGCAAATACTAACTTTAAGCATAAGGAAAAACATCTTTTAACGTGGTGACCCCCTAATTCGTCCCAACTTTGGACCCAAATAGATCACATCGCTATCAGCCACCGATGGAGGGGCTCGATAGAAGACTGTCACTCATTCTGGAGCACATGCCTAGATTCAGATCATGCTCTAGTGAGAGCGCGTATTTGCTTGCGTCTTACTGGACGTAGGAAAGACGCTGCAAGGAAACCTCTTAGGGGCCTACTTAATGATAGTAAAGCTAAGAGTATATTTCAGGAACAACTAGGAAAAGAGTTAGGCAGCCATGTATGTGATGCCCACCCTGAGGCAGCATGGAATGATATCCGAAAAGCTGTGGAAACAGCAGTGATATCTGCTAGTACGGTAACCCGTAAGGTTAAGGAGAAACACTGGATCTCAGCAGCATCTATCGCACTGATAGATGCTCGAAAACTCATTCCACCTGGCTCTGAACATAATGAAGAGCGGAGTCAGCTTAAGCACAAGCTGAAAAGAAGCCTACGCAATGATCGCGAACAGTGGTGGGCAGCAAAGCAAGAGAGATGGAAAAGGCAGAGGCAATAAGTAATAGCAGGCAATTGTTCAGACTCGTTATGGAAACCGGAATTAGGAACCCCACTGTTAGCGAAACTATCTCAGAGAAAGGTGGACATATTATTCATTCTCATTCCAGGAGATTGGATCGATGGGCAGAACACTTTAGGGATCAGTTCAACTGGCCTTCAGCCACACTTCGGTTTCCCACGATCTCCAGTCAACCTGAATGGCAAGTTAATGTAGGTCCTCCGTCCCTTTACGAAGTTGAAAAAGCCATAAGAAATCTGAAACGAGGGAGAACGGCAGGCCCTGACAGGTTTACTCCTGAGATTTTTAAGGATGGTGGTCCAGTATTAGCAGTGAGATTAACTGAGGTCTTAGGTAGAATTTGGGAACTGGACGTAATCCCATCTGACTGGTCTCAATCACTGATTGTGCCAGTCTATAAGAAAGGACAAAAGTCCTCTTGTGACAACCACAGAGGAATCAGTTTGACTAATATAGTGTCTAAAATATTAGCCTCAATAATACTTCGACGCCTAATCAAAGCTCGTGAAGAGCAGATTAGAGAAAACCAGGCCGTTTTTCGACCTGGACGTGGTTGTACAGATCAGATATTCACACTACGTCAGGTTTTAGAACACAGACACACATTTAGACGCCCCACAATGGTAGTATTTCTCGACCTTAAGGTGGCATTCGACTCTGTTGATCGTGAGGTTCTATGGCAGTGTTTGTCACTGAAAGGAGTACCCAAGAAGTACATTAACCTTATACAGGCTCTCTACTCGAACACAACTGGTAGAGTAAGAGCTTATGGCGAACTGTCATCAGAATTGATTACCTCAAGTGGTGTTCGTCAGGGCTGTTCACTCTCCCCATTCTTGTTCAACTTTGTGGTCGACGTACTTTTAGAGATAACACTCTCCTCATCTAAATTTCCAGGGGTTGAACTTCTACCGAGAGGTTCACTTGTTGACTTAAAATATGCTGATGACATAGTTTTATTTGGTGAAGACGCTGACAAAATGCAGAGTCTTCTGATCACTCTAAGCAACAATGCAAGCATGTTCGGGATGCGATTCTCTCCCTCGAAATGCAAAATGTTGCTTCAGGATTGGGTTACATCGACACCCGAACTAATGATAGGGAGTGAAGTAGTTGAGAGTGTCGACCGCTTCACTTATCTTGGAAGTCTCATCAGCCCTTGTGGTTTAGTGTGTGACGAAATCTCAGCACGGATACAGAAGGCTCGACTAGCTTTTGCCAACTTGCGTCATTTATGGCGTAGGCGAGATATCCGTCTATCAACCAAAGGACGTGTTTACTGCGCATCAGTTCGTTCCGTCCTGCTTTATGGCAGTGACACATGGCCGGTAAGAGTAGAGGATATTCGTAGGTTACTAGTATTTGATCATAGGTGTCTCCGAAATATTGTTCGTATATCATGGGACCATCGAGTAAGTAACACAGTTGTTAGAAAACGGGTACTAGGTAAGGATGGCAAATCAATTGATGACGTAGTGAAACTTCATCAGTTGAGATGGTTGGGACACGTGTTACGTATGCCCAACGACCGACTGCCTCAACGTGCGATGTTCAGTGGTATAGGAGTAGGTTGGAAGAAAGCTAAAGGCGGCCAGACCAAAACATGGCACAAGTCCATGAAGTCACTGACAAGTGGACTGAGTCATGTTGGTAGGTGTAGATTACCTGGTTGGGGACCGCGAGATGATAGCAACCGATGGTTAGAGACTTTGAATGACATGGCTTAAAATCGTTTGCAATGGCGCAGGTGCATCTACTCTTTGTGTTCTCCCAAACTCTAATTTTCTGAATTCTTCATGTCCCTTTTTTCCTCTTTCCAAATTTATTTCACTGGATTATACTCCTTGAATAACATCTCCAAACACTAATTTTCCCGATTACTGCTTATACTCTTATTACCTCTACCACTACGGGATTTGAATCGGCCACTACATCTGTGTGCTAATGTGGTGTGGCAACTCGAACTGATGTACGTACGTACGAAGTTCTACGTTGTTACTGACTGACTTACTTTTCACGCATAACTAACTGGTCTTGATGCCACATATACGTTCATTTCTCATCCATCTCTAAATCTTCA